GGTCCAAAACCGAGAAGGTTCTGCTGTTCACGGCTCGTTTTAGCTCATTTCACTTTGGTGTTTTTTGAACTTAGTTTCTACTTTTGGGGCCTGAACTTTGAGTACAGTCATACTAAAGTATTCGTTTTTGATTATTTCTGAGACAAAATGCTCAAATTGTTAGAAAGTTAGAAATAATGCGATTACTGAGCGATGGTACATTTAAGTGTTACTGTTGATTTCCTCTATTTAGTTCTTATTTTTGTCTTCTTGAGGATGTTTTTTGTGCATTTTAAGGCATCAGTCTTCTAATTTAGTTGTATTTTTGCACAATATTGTAGCAATAAAGGCTTTCTATTCTATGTCTGTTCTATCTTACTTTTTAAATATTCGTAGTCAGCCATTTTTCTACCTATACTGACAGTGACAGTGTAGAGAGATGAGCACTGTGACCACCCAGGTAGTGAGTTTCCTCCCAATAATTTAATTCTAACAAAAATGGTACCCATCTGTGGCATCATAAAGTTTACTCCGGGATGTTAAATGTCTACTGTTCAGCTGTGATTGGATGTGTCGCTGCTGTGTTTTGCTAACTGTTGAGTCTGAACTGACCTCTCTCACTCAGAGAGATGCAGGAGTCTTCAAACGTACACTCCTGGACGTTCTGGCAGCGTCCCGTGTAATCAGAGCACTTGTAGCAGCGAAGTCCAGACCCTGAAGAAGAAGAAGGAGAAGAAAAACGGTTATACAACATTCAGGAACTGTTCCTCTGAAGTCCAGGCTTGTTGAAAAGATAACATTCAGCTGCTGGTGTTGTTGTGATCTTGAAACAATGGAGGCTCAGTCCAGCAGGCTTCAGATTTGAACCTGATAATGCATCATTTTCAAGTTTCACAATAGGCTGGGTCAGGTTTTCATGTTCCACATCACAGGTCCAATGTGGTGGAAGTCCATTTCTATGGTGTTTTGTGCTTTTTGTAAACATGGAGGTGTCAAATAAAACAGACGAAGATGTTTACTTCTGCCATTCTTCAACACCGCTACAACTAGTTAGCCTCCCAGCTAAACATTGTATAGCTCCGCCCCCTTTACCACCACCATTCAGAATCAACATCCGCCTCACAGTCCACCAACTTTATTTACTATCTAGAGCTACATCAGCTAACTCTAAAAGACAAAACCTTTCCTGCTAGAGTGAACACAAGAGTCTTCATGCAATCTCAGCATCTGAGGAACTGACCAGTAGAATACTTAAGTGTTTGATGCCAAAGTCAACAAAACAATAGAAAAATGCTTATTGTTAGCAAGCAGTGTGGCTAATGTAGCTAAAGTTACCATTAGCTTTAGCTCTGTGGAAACGGTAAGTAACTTCCAAAAATGGTGGAAACTTTAAACCAGTGAACAAGGACTGTGTGTGTGTCACTGTGTTTTCATGCCTCCTGTTGGGCTTCGAGCTAAACTGTTAGCTTCTCTCCTGCTCTCTGTGCTCACACAAACTGACTGAATTAACAATAAATCTGTTCTCATTTACATATTTTTCTTTTTCTGTTGCCAAGACAATGAAACGAGAATAAAACAATAACAGGAATGCAGCTCACTGTAGCTAAACGTCAGACTTCACAACCACAACATTGCCTGACAGACTCACCAAACACATTAATTAGAAAATCAGAGAATTCAGGAATATTTCCACATTAAACAATCACTCAGAGAGAAACAGATCAAAAGTCCTGGTCTGACACACTCTGAGCTGTAAATCAGCAGCAACTCAGCAGCATTTAAAGCTGAAAGTCTGTTAACAGGGCTATTTATATTGGCTTTACTTTTGTAAAAAAAAAAATATATATATATATTTTAATCAACTCATGTAGTTTTATATAGCTGAAAATTGTATCTGTTTCTCTGTAATTATCTTGCTGTATATATTTTGACATGTGCTGCTACCTACTTGGCCAGGTCACCCTTGTTAAAGAGATCCTGGATGTCAATGGGTCTTAACCTGGTTAAATAAAGGTAAATAAAAAAAAAAAAATAATAATTTAGCCCCAAAGATGTTCATGAAACATTCAAGGGTATAGCCTTAATAAAAATAGCCTAAAATCGACATACACTGGTTCGTACCAACAATGATTAATGATTTAACCTGATTACATCAGGGTTTAACTTTAAAACGGTTCAATTTAAATCTCATTTGAACTCTAAACTCAGATTACATTTAATTCTGTTGCTCAAAACTAAAAATCCAGTCACGCAGTATGAGCTTTAAACCTTTGAATCTACACGTTAGTTAAACTGTTTAATTCTGGTTTACTTCAATAAACGTGGATTTACTAAATACAGTGCAACAGAGCTTAACGTTAAACCTGGATTTACCCGTTTTAAACCTGGTTTTGCTAAACTCTGATTAGAACTAAATCACAAGATTGTGAGAGACAAAATATTTATGATCCTAGTAAAACAGTAAATTGTTGTCAAAATAAAACAGAATAACATAATAATAATGATCACGAAAAATAAAATAATGTCATATTACAATGATAAAACTATAAAACACTAAATTAAAGCCAGACATGACAGATGGTTTCAGTTCATGATTGGTGATTTTCTTCACTTTCAGTCTGCTTTTTTTTTAAATCTTACTCTTCATAACACTTCAGTTTAATAAAGGAATGGATTTCTAAAGAGATCATTAAGGTTATTGTATTTTAATGTCCTTTTTTTGATGCTTTATACACATATTATTATTTTTGATAATTAGCAACAGCAATTAGAATCTTCACTTAACTGTAAAATAAATGTAAGCCAAACACTGACACATAATAATGCCGTTATAAGCAGATATAAACATACTTCAGGTGTTTATTAATAGCTCTCACTGTGAAAAACAACAACAACAAAAAACACCTTTAAATGCCAAATATTAAGATTTACCAAATGTAATTCAATAACTAGATGAGCAGAAATGCTGTTTTTTTAAATAGTTCAGTTCTGATATCTCATATTTAAGAGACTTTCATCCCGTCAGTCACTTTCTTTTTCTGCTAACTCGCAGCAACACTAACGTTTATGTAAAATTAATGTCTCCTCGTTCTCCATTAATGATTCCCTCAACGATTTTTTAGCTGAGTAACACTCAACTCTCTACTTTAGCCCCATTTAGCACTTATAAACGGAGTATTTAATTAGTTATTCACGATGCATTATAATGTAGTTCTAAGGGCTGCAGCGAACAATAGAGAAGTTGAGAAAAACAGGATATTGCACAGCATACACCAACACACACACACACACACTTTGAAGTGACACGATATTGTTGGAACGGAACCAGAACAAACAGGAAAAATCCATGAAATCAGCCATCTGGCATCCCCGGTTACCAAAACAACCGGCCTCGGCGGCCTCGTCTCCACGGCGTCATATGTACGTTAAAACTCTTCTCCAGAGGAAAGGTTTGGATCTGATGTCTGTCTGTTGAGGTGTGTGTTCCTCCAGGAGACGATAAAACTGACTCTCATGGTTCATTGTTCTACAACATAAGCAGGTTTAAGGACGCTTGTGTTGTTGTATTCTGTCATGGTGTTCATTATTATTATTACTATTACTGCCAAATCCATTAATAAACACTTTAAAATGCAAAATATGAGTTTAAGTAAAGTGCATTTACTTAAATTAATAGATAGAAAATTAGGTTTTTAAGGGATTTTAAAAAAATTGATAATTGCTATTTTTTGGCAAAAGTATAATAACAATAACAATAATAATAATAATAATAAACATTAAACTATAGAACCTTTTCAAACCAGAGTAACAAGGTGCTTTGCAAAAAACAAAAAACTGCTATTAAAACTTTTAATAAAAAAACTAAAGCTCCTCACATGTTTTTTCACTTCACACTCTTATTTTATATCTTTTAACCCTTTCAGGTCAAGTTTATCAAACATTACAATGTAATTACAAGTAGATATAAGAACACTTGATGTGCTTATTAATCAATAATTCATTTTTATTAGTCATTCGTATTATTTTTGTCTGTCCACAGGAGGAGCTATGATTGTTAATAAAAACATTCATATCTAGTACAAAAAACATTTGTTACATGTTTAGATTCTTATTTTAAATGCTGAAAATGTGGAGTTAAAGTTTACCTTTAATAAAGAGCATTAGTCTCTAATACTGTAGCACAACTGATTTTATTGGAGTGAGTCAAAGTGTTTGTATGTAAAGTTCTGTTTATTGGACTATTTGACAGTGTTTATGGCTACCAAGTCCATAAAAAAACACTTTTAAATGCAAAATACAAGTTAAAATAAAGAGCTGCCACATCTAATTAATTAAATTCGTAGAAATTTAGGTTTTTAAGGGATTTTTTTAAAATTGATAACTGATATTTTGTGTTGATGTCTGTCGGCTACAAACCATAGTTTTTCATTTTGAATGCAAAACAAGTGCCTAAATTGATCATAACAATCATTATTACTAACATTTTATTGCTTTTGTGCATATTTTACAGGCTTATTAATTTGACAAATAAAGCAAACCGTCAGCTGTTTAACCTCGAACTGAACCAGTGCTTTAAAGTTGAGCTGTTTAAGGACCAAATGTTGGTTCTACTGACGTTTCAGGTTCATGCCGGTTTGATTTCGGCGCTCCGGTGCGTCGCGTCCACTCACCTACATGAAACATCCCAGAACAGAGCAGCAGCATCAGTCCGAGGCAGCGCTTCATGTCGACTCCCTGCAAACAGAAGCAGAAGTGACGGCGGTTTGCAGCAGCAGCAGCAGAGCGTCCGGCTGGTCTGGAGTCCTGCAGCAGCCGACGACCACTGAGAGCTGCTCTTTGTCCTCGCGGCCACAAAGCCTGGCTGTGTGGACGGACCTCCTCCTCCTCCTGCTTCACTCCAACAATCACTGAGGCTTTTATTCTGGCTGCAGTTCATGGAGCTGCTGCTCGTCTGTGTGTATTTATCGTCTCTGGTGTTTATGTTTGCAGCCGTGGCGCGTAAATAAGAGTTCCCAGAGCAACGATCACACTGGAGAAAACATGATTTTATCCACA